ATTAGGAAAGTTACAAAGGCAATATTTTGTACAACAGACTAGTTTTGTTTCTATGTCGATGGGTTAAAATAAAGTAGCCCTGGAAACTATTGCACAATTATTGTATATATTTGTACCCATCAAAGAAGGATTGGCTTATAAATAAACTATTTTTATATCCTATCAAGGCAGAAACTTCACTTTTTGTTCAGCAGAATAACACCATCAAAAGTGAAGTTGGTTCTAAGAATGGTTTTTGAATGAATGAATAAATGAACACCTGCCATGTATGAGAACAGACTCTGGAGAATTTGACAGCAAATGAATGCACAATGTCTCCAGTAGGGAATAAAAACACATTAAAAAGATCACTTTGTATCAATTAAATTTAAAAAGGATTATAAGAATAAGATGTGGTGGAAATGGGTTCTTTACCTTGTGTGACCAAGGAGGTCTCTGGGATGGAAGAGTTGGTGACAGGATAGAGATTTACCTAGGTAACTACTTTGTATGTGCTATTTCTTCCATTTCTCACTACACCATTTCCTGGCAGCTATCACATTTCCAATTTACAGATAAAGCTTAAACAGTCAAATAAGATTTTTCAAATAATATTTGTGTATATACATATAAATATATATATATATAACTTTTTTATTTTTTTTTTTTATTTTTTTTTTTGAGACGGAGTTTTCCTCTTGTTACCCAGGCTGGAGTGCAATGGCGCGATCTCAGCTCACCGCAACCTCTGCCTCCTGGATTCAGACAATTCTCCTGCCTCAGCTTCCTGAGTAGTTGGGATTACAGGCACACACCACCATGCCCAGCTAATTTTTTTTGTGTGTGTGTCTTTAGTAGAGATGGGGTTTCACCATGTTGACCAGGATGGTCTCGATATCTTGACCTCGTGATCCACCCGCCTCAGCCTCCCAACTTTTTTTGTTTTTTTATACAAATGTTACCTTCAATGTTTTGTCCAACTAGAAACCTTTTTAGGGATTCAATTTGCCCACATAAGTCACTTTTCACACACGCAGTTCTTCTAAAAAAGAAAGAAAACCTATATGGCCGGAGTGGTGGCTCATATCTGTAATCCCGCACTTCAGGAGGCCAAGGCAGGCAGATCAGGATATCAGGAGATTAAGACCATCCTGGCCAACATGGTGAAACCCTGTCTGTACTAAAACTGCAAATATTAGCTGGGCATGGTGGCGTGCACCTGTAGTCTCAGCTACTAGGGAGGCTAAGACAGGAGAATCTTTTGAATCCAGAAGGCGGAGGTTGCAGTGAGCCACTGCACTACAGCCTGGTGACAGAGTGAGACTCTATCTCAAAAAAAACCCTATATAAGGCCAAGTGTGGTGGCTCACACCTGTGATCCCAGCGCTTTGGGAGGCCAAGACAGGTGGATCACGAGGTCAAGAGATGGAGACCACCCTGGCTAAGACCCCATCTCTACTAAAAATACAAAAACATTAGCAGGCCATGGTGGCATGCACCTGTAGTCCCAGCTAAGGGAACTTTAGCAAAACACGAAAATATTTTCTTTTTTAAAATGCTTTGGAAAATACATTTAGAACAGTGAACTCTTTATCAAGTTCCCAAGATGAAAGGTGAGTATTTTCAGTTGTTAATACATGGCAACACTTGTTTTCAATAGGGGCTGTGAACAACTTCCATTGTATCTGTCAATCAAATGGTTAAAAAAGGAAAAAATCATTGAAAAAAAATCCTACACAATTGCAAACACTTGGGATAATAAGTGGTTTTAGTAGTCAATGGTGGCATGGATCTTCCTGTTATCTTGGTAGACAGAATTCAAGACTATTTTAAGAAAAACACTACATTTTTTTTTTCAGAATATCAGGTATTTAATTTCTCATAGCAACCAAAAATAACAATCCTAATGCTTGGAAAAGTAAAATTCTAAATTATATTTTCTCTGAGGGGGCAAAAAGTTCAAGTTAACACAAGAACTAATTTCAAATGATAAAACAGGACCATTCACCAAAATGTAAATGAGACACATAAGTTCTAAACATAAAATGTCCCCCAAAAGTCAAATATGAAAAGCATAAGAGAAAACTGCAAATTCCCTTTTGTTCTGCTTACTGATTGTGTAAGTCCAATGTCTTCTTTGTTTCTAGCAACATTCCTGAGTCTCCTTATGATCATTTAGATTTGGCATGTGGCTGAGAAATAGTTACAACTATTAATGCTGCTGCAAGTTCTGGGGAGGTGGCATGCCTCCCATGGAGCGCTGCACTCCCACCCACGCCGTGTCCTGTGCATCTCTTCCAGGTGACTACTTCTGTGTTATATTATTTATAATAAGCTGGTAACTATAAGAAAATATTTCCCTGAGTTCTGTGAGCTGTTCTAACACTTTCTGAACCTGAGGAAGGAGTTGGAATCCCCAGTTTGTGGTCATGTTGGACAGAAATTGTGGGTAATTTCGGGACATACTACATGTGATTGGCATCTGAAGTATAGAAATGTATTGTGAAACAGAGCCCTTAACCTGTGGAGTCTGCACTATCGTGAGTGTAAGACCCGAGTTAAATTGTAGGACACCCAGATGTATGAGACAAAATTGGAGAATGGTTGGCAAGGGAAAAAATATCACAATTTTGGTGTTGGGAGAGCTGTGTATGTGTATGTAGATAAACAGTAGTTGGCCAGGTATGCTGGCTCATGCCTGTAATCCCAGCACTTTGGGAGGCCAAGCTGGGAGAATCACTTGAGCCCAGAAATTGAGACTAGCCTGATATCGTGAGACCCCCATCCATATAAAAGATAGAAAAAAATTGGCCAGGCATGGTTGCTTGCATCTGTGGTCCCCGCTACTTGGGAGGCTGAGGAGGGAGGATAGCTTGAAGGGGAGTCAGAGACTGCAGTGAGCTTTGATTGCACCACTGTACTCCAACCTGGGCAACAGAGTGAGATCTGGTCTCAAAAACAACAACAAAAAAGAAACAGTGGTTTTCTTTTCTCTTTTAATCCCTTGATTATACAGCATGACTTCAATTCCCTCATTGTTTTTGTTTGTTTGTTTGTTTAAGACAGAGTCTTGCTCTGTTGCCCAGACTGGAGTGGTGTGCTCTCAGCTCACGGAAACCTCCCAGGTTCAAGCAATTCTTCTGCCTCAGCCTCCCTAGTAGCTGGGACTACAGGTGCGCACCAACACGCCCAGGTAAGTTTTGTACTTTTAGTAGAGACGTGGTTTCACCATATTGGCCAGGCTGGTCTTGAACTCCTGATCTCATGATCTACCCGCCTTGGCCTCCCAAAGTGCTGGGATTACAGGCGTGAGCCACTGTGCCCTGCCAACTCCCTCATTGTTATGAAGAGTTCTATGTGGCAGTTTTATGTTGCTTTTGTGTTTGTTTTCTTGCTTATAAACAGTAATATCTGTAAAAACATTATAAGGGGAGGAATAAGAAAGGAGCAAAACAAAGCACTGTTTTGTATCAAATAAAATTGATGAAGTAAACTAAAAAATGATTTTCAGAATAGAGAAGGATATGGACAAAGAATGTTGTTAACAATTACAAGAGTGTTAAGAAAAATTGGCTCTCAACTCCAGAAACAGGTATTGAAATTGCTAAAAAAAAAAAAAAAAAAATCTTTGAAAAACATAATCTCTGGCAGAAGACTTTCCTATACAGTGAAAAAAAAAAAACAAACCATCATCAAAGCAGTTTTAAAGGGTTATTCAAGTCTAAAGCCCATCACCCAAAAAAATTATACAGTTTGCTCATGTATGTATTACTGAGTTGATATTTCCCAACAAAAAATAAAAACTGCATAGGAGTGGCAAGCTATTAAAATAGAACTTAATGTTTATGAATTAACTATTCTGGCTCAAATCAGGTTCAACTACCAAGATACAATGCAACTCACATGTGAATAGTAAAGGTGTAATAACCCATCAGGATAGATGAAAATACATAAACTCTTCTTATAATTTGATATTCATATAAGTTCTTAGTATCATGTTTTCTGTATTAATCATAGGCCAAAATAGCTAACGGAGATTCTAGTCTCCTCTGATAGAAACCTATAAAAACCTTTTTCTAGAATATTATTATGTAAGACATTTTAAAAATTACAATAGACTGGAGAAGGTATTTTGAAAATGTTTAAATCTCAGAGATATAAGAATTACTTGCAGAATATTTAAGATGTTAAAATTCAGGTCTGTTTTCTTGGGTCAACCACTAATGAATTGAGTGAATTTGGAAAATTTAGTTAACCTCTAAAAATCAAATTTTCTTCATTTCTAAAATAGGAATATCTCATAATTCAGTGAAAGAATGAAAATGATATACTACTTTCAAGTAGCTTAGCACTTGAATGACATAGTCTTTTTTCTATATACATAATTCAATCTCCATAGAGACTGTCAAAAAATTGCCAATGCCAACTATATTTCAAGTCGTCGTGATGGGGTATTGGGAAAAGTTTTCAATTAGCAATAATCACCCCTCAGATACACCTCATTGGCTATGATACTGCCACTGCACAAAGCCTACATAGTCTTTTTTTTTTTTTAGAAAAAAATAGTTAAGCCATTTGAATGCAACAGGAAGGAATATTGCTAAAAGCTTCATTTTAAAAATTATTCCTTTGTCTAGAATTATATTTTACATAAAATAAAAAACACATGATTTGAAAGTAATAGCAACCAAAAAAATTGCAATGACCATGAAAATAGGATACATTTCTAATTATAGGAGTTGGGATTCAGAAGATAATATCGCAGAGTATGGAGCTTTAGTATGCTGAATACATTGAACTAAAGCAGGCTGGAAAGCATTGGCAGCAAGCTCTCTCTGAACCTCTTGTTCCATCATGTCTCTTACCCTCCATCCCATGAAATGAGTCATAGAAATCAGAATTCCTGTTTCCCAAAGTGAATCATAGAAACTAGAACCCCTCTCCTCCAAAGAAAGCCATAAAATCTAGCAAGTCACTCCCTCCCTTCTTTCTTGAAGATTCTCATTCCAGAAAGATCTTACCTGGAAAAAAAGAATGCTGTATAAAGAGTCCAAGAAGAATCGAACAGAAAGATTTTGCTGGGTTTTCCTCCTTCAGCCTATTGCCACTACATTATATCCATACTTTTATCTACTTATATTTCAACACAGCTGTCTATTCTTTATCGAACAGGTCTTAACTCATTTTGTACTGCTATAACATAAAACCACAGACTGGGTAATTTCTAAGCAATAGAAGTTTATCTGGCTCACTGTTCCGGGAATGGGAAGTCCAAGAGCGTGATACTGGAATCTGGAGAAGTCCTTCCTGTTGCCTCATTTCATGGCAGAAGTCAGAAAAGCAAAAGAGCATGAAAGAGCAAGAGGGAGCAAACTTGCTTTCATAGCAAGCCAACTTTTGTAATCAATTATCAACTCACATGATAAGGGCATTAATCCACTCATGAAGGCAGAGCCCTTATGACCTTATCACCTCATTAGGCCCCACCTCTAAACACTGTTGCATTGGGAACTAAGTTTTCAACCCATGAACTTTGGAGAACACAGTCAAATCACAGGAGGACCTAAACATAAAATAGACAGTTTTACCTGGGTCTCGGGTCTTCATTTCTGAAGGCTCCCATGTCACATAAACTTTGATTAAATAAATTTGTCATGCTTTTCTCATTAACTTGTATTTGGCTATGGGAGTGTTAACCTATTATGTAAGTCTAATGCCTCTGATTGATGTATGAGAAAAAGTCTCACACCTTTCTACCCCTACAAAGATGAATGCCAAAACAGAAGAAAAAGAAAAAAAAAGAAAGAGAATGATAAATGAGCGGAATGAGCAGGGAGGCCATTAGGAGACAAAGGTGAAAATGACTGGTCACTGTAAAATATCATATTATTAGATTGAAAACATTTGATAGAAAAAATCCTTTTGTCCAAAAATGCATTTTACTAGTTTCTTTTGAGCTCTGGGCATGTAGACAGCACAAGACAGGTTTGAGAATAACACTTTGTAGTATCCTAAATGCATGTGCTTTTTAAACATTTAAATATTTGTGACGGGTTTCTTTCCCTTTCAACGTGCACAGGAAAGGAGCAGCAACGGGACTGCTTCTTTTACCAAAAGCAGTCAGAGGCTAAAGCAAAGATCATCTTTCTACTAAGCCAGAATAGAAAGCTAGATTTACATTTGAATCACGTGACATGGTGACAGTTTTTTTTTTTAATCATCAAAGAGTGGAAGCTGACTATTCTTAACCATTTTCTGTTTAAAGAAATGAGCTAAAAGGTCAGAGGTATTTGACTTCTACAGGCCCATAATCAAAATAAAAACAATTTTCTAAGTTATGGGAAATCAGGAATTATTTTCTCATTATCTACATACTATAAGAAAAATAACATGTGAAGTTGATAGGCTTAAGGATTAGCATCTGGATTATCACAGAGTGGCCAGCATTACATAAAAATGGTGTAACACTGGAATTTCTAATCTTAAAGTCATGTAATCAAATTCATTATATTTATCCAAATGTATGTGCTACTTATTGTTTTTCCAGTTGAATTTTTCCACCACCCTTATAATTCTGAAGTTGCAATATCTGATAATAAATTTCTATTCTAAAAAATATTAGTCAGGCATGGTGGTACATACCTATAGTCCCAGCTACTTGGGAGACTAAGGGAGAGGACTGCTTGAGTCTGAATAGTCAAGGCTGCAGTGAGCTGTGATTGTGCCACTGCACTCCAACCTGGGCAACACAGTGAGACCCTGTCTCAAAATAAATAAATAAATAACTTCTTATTTTGTGCATATATTTTTGTCATTAAATGTAAAAAAAAGTATGTTTCCTGAACATTCTACAGAATAACTTAATCAGAAAAGACCTAAAATACTTTTGTTCCATACATTACAAAAAGAGAATGATAATTTAACCTCAATTTTCAATGATAAAAATTTTCTACTTAATGTTTTCCTGTTTTCCTCTTTGATTGTTTCTTGACATTAATGCTGGGAAAAATGAGTTCATCTGAGGGAAACAGAAAGAGTTCTTATTCAATTTCTTCAAAATATCGTAAGTGTAAAAAGGTATTAATTTAGAACCTACATAGTTTTGATCATTTTATCTCATGAGTTCATGAAGCTTCAGTTTCCTTTATTTGAAGATTGGTTAGTCAGTTTCTAATAGAAAAATATAAATAAAAATGTAAGAAAAACAAATTCACATTCAGCATATTTTACACAGTTTTCTTAAGTAAGTACATTTAATATAAATAGAAATTGGTGAAATAACTTTAAATATGCACTAAAACACAAATACTTTTAAGTATGCACTTAAGATGACTGAATACTACTGATTTCTATCATGTCATTATCAACATACATAAACAACAAAGATCAGGCAATTTTGAGTGTTTAAGAGTTTTAAGTGAAGTATATACTCTACCTTCCTCTGAAGAAGAGGGAATTTTTTTTTTCTGATGGACAGATAAATCAAGAAATATTTATCAAGAAATATCCCCTCTGCCACCTCTGGGCTATATAGGAGTCTTGTCAAAATAGAATCCATCTGAAGTATAGACAGGTTTTAGGAAATTGCAACGTAACTCCTTACCAAACCTTCATAGAAAATAATATTGTATAAGTGATACTTGGATTTTCAAACAGATAAAGTGAGTTTCAAACTGCTGAAAAATTCATGAATTTGTTTCCAGCTTATTAAGTAGATATAAAAGGTGTTCAAGTAATTAGTAAAGGACATTTTAATATTCTAATGGCAAAAGCATTAGATAGTGTCCTCATTTATGGCATTGCATGATTTGTAATATGTTCTATCATAAGCTCACTTTGTATATAAAACTGAGGAATTTGTTTCAGCTCACTTTCCAATGGAAAGAGAATTGAGGAAATAAGTCAACAAGGCAATCAATGTTAATAAGGGGCAGAAATTCAAGCTCCAATTGCACATTTGGTACCTGGATATAGCAGAGAACTTTCCAATTAGGGCCAACAAGTAGAAAGCTGATAACTCCAAGCTGATTTATAGGGAAAGGTTGGCAGCATGTAATGAGAATCTGGAGCACATACATCCAGCTGTAACACCTTTAGTATAAGTATAGTTTCTAATGGCAAAAGCTAATGGCTGCATGACAATAATAAATAATGGGGAGAGAATATTCTAGCCTTAGGCCTTAGAAAAGAGAACTGTGGTGGCATTACACAATTTTCACTAACACTAGGTGAAAGACTATTCTAAAGGGGTAGCTGCATTCTCAATTGCATAAGCTGAACCAGAAGTGGAAACCATAATAGGCAAGAAACAACATTTCACTGAATTCCATCCTTCCATTCTTTTTTCAAATATAATTTATATATAGGAATATTCTTGTAGGGAAAACAAAAGAAATAAATCACTGCCCACTTTTCTATCTTCCACTGTAGAGCATTCAAGATAAATTGTTTTAATTGACAAAAATTCTCTAGTTGGCCAAACTTTAGTCAGACTCTTAAACTTTCTCCTTGGCCCATCTGTGCACGTTCATGCACGTTCATCCAGTTTTAGCAAAGACCCCTGTTAAATCACTTTAGCAAGAACCGTACTTCTTTGATATAAGGTTGCCCTGGATATCTAATCAGGTTCTTCCATCTTCCACCATCCCTCAGGTGATATCTGATCACCTTGGCCTCTCTTTAGTAAGAATCTTGTTAAGGTTGGTTTGGCTGGAATCCCCGTTATCCCCAAGGTTTCCTCTCAGTAATTTTCCACCTAATAACCCCTACCCTGCTCCTTGGCTATGAATTCTCACTTGCCCATGCCGTATTCAGAGATGAGCTCAATCCGTCTCCCCAACTCTAACATATGGTTGCAATGGTTTCTCATATCTATGGTGATGATATTGAATAAAGTTATTGTTACCAAGCTTTAACAAGCATTATTGAGTACGTTTTTCCTTTACCAAAATAAACAACACTTAAAAGCAGTGGAATTCACCTGGCACTTATTGTGTACCTACCAGTATAAAATCTCAGTGTGCTCATAATGCACACAGTGTGCATGGCGCTACCACCTGGAAGTACTTAGCACAATCTACAAGGCCATCTACAGGCAGACCTGAAGTAGTATTTAAGAACAAGGACTCCAGAGTTAGCAGATTTGGAATCAAGTGATCGTAACCATGTAATTATGGACAAGATAATGAACCAGACTGTTTTAGTTTCCATATCCATAAAATAGGGATAATGTTATGAACCATCATTTAGGGTTACTAAGGATTAAGTGCAAATAAAATATACAGCACAATGCCTCCGGAAGTTAGTGAGTGATATAGTTTGGCTCTGTGTCTCCACCCAAATCTCATCTCCAATTGTAATCCCCACTTGGTTGAGGGAGGGAGTTGGTGGACCGCAGTGAGGTTTCCCCGATGCTGTTTTCATGATAGTAAGTGAGTTTTCAGGAGGTCTGATGGTTTAAAAGGGTGGCACTTCCCCCAACTCTCTCTCCTGCCAACATGTAAGACAAGCCTCGCTTCCCCTTCACCTTCCACCATGACTGTAATTTTCCTGGGGCCTCCCCATTCATGCAAAACTGTGAGTCTATTAAATCTCTTTTCTTCATAAATTACCCAGTCTCTGGTAGTTCTTTATAGCAGTATAAAAACAGACTAATACTGTGAGCTATTAAGCTGAATGATTTAATTTGATGTTATCATTTGCCAGCTTTTGTAGTAAGTGTGGCAAAAAAATGAAACACCATGCTGGGTGTCACATCACTGAATGTGAAACACCTAGAACTGTAGAGATTGAATTCTATTGCTAAACGTTCAGTAACAATATCTCTCTTATTTAAACCGTAGATCACATACAATACAAAGTGGCTTTGTAATCTCATATGAACTGATATGATTAGTAGTCCATTAGTGTCTGATGTATCTGTGATTTTGGCAGCTGCACTGCACAAATTGCAGTTTCCCAAGTATCATAGCTTCCCTCAAAACCCAAGAAACTAAAATAGAGTATGGTGGTAGAATTTATATTAGCAAATACAAACAGCACAAAGAAGCCTTAACCAAGAGGACTGCCTAATTTTGTGTAATGAAAATAAAGTACAAGCACCTGGTAGATTTTTGAAGCATTTTTACAAGGATCAGAAAAATATAATTCAAAATCTTGTCATATCCACTCCCAGATCAACATCAGAATTATTATTCTTCAAGGCAGCCAAGGCCTAGAAGTCAGGCATATTATTAAGAGCAGAACGATACCTCATCTTTTGATAACTTTCACATAATCCCCAATTCTCCCTAACGCAACACTCATCAGCCCATTAATTCACAACAGTTTCTTTCCACAGCTCTCTTCGATCCCTTCTTTCCCAAATGTCTCAGGTATACACTGCCCAAAGTATACCTGTACTTCACTGCTACTTTGAATACAAAAAAGATCACACTGTTGGCTGCTCCTTTTGGAATTTTACAAATAAAACAAATATGCTGAGTTATTCCAGTTGGATAGCAGTTCATCTTAACTGTGGTGATATTGTCCCTCAGGGGATATTTGGCAATGCTTGGAAACATGTGGCTTTCACAATTCGGAGAGTGCTACTGGCTGCTAGAGGACAGAGGTAGTGCCAGGACTAGGGTGAGGTACGGAAGGTGCCTAGGTCTCAGGAGTTAAGGAGGCATTAAGGGAAGTGCAAGTACAGGATTAAAATTTACAAACCACAGAGAATAAATGCCTCCTGAGATATTGTGCCCCAGCTACCTCCCTTACCCAACCCTGGTCCCAGAACTGGGTAGAGGCTAGGGATGTGGCTAAATCTCCCCCATAAAAGGAAATATCCCATCCAAAATATTAATAGTGCTGGGATTGAGAAACCCAGACAGGT